GTAAGTTACATGTAAGTTACATTCCAAAATCAAAACTTACGTCAGTTAAAATAACTTACGTAAGTTACCCATCCCTAGTTACAAATTAAATAAATCAAATAATGCAACAATGCTTGCTGAACTTTCGTAAAGCTGGTACAATATACCGTGATTTGAAATTTGATTTACTGAAAATTACGTTACATGTATTGTAAAATTGTTCTGGGCTAATTTTAGCCTATTTCTTTGAAAATTTCTATTTTTGGAATGAAAAGGTTAAAAAGTAATGCGGGCCAAAATTTTGTAGATCCACGGCCGTTAGCCAATTAAAATCAAGGATCTTGTTGCGGCAGCTATGGTTTGACAATTTAGATAGTAGGATTGTATACTGTTGCTTGAAATTAAAATGGATTTTTATTCATTTAATCTTGGGAGTTTTATTGCAAAGGAAATTATTAACTGCGGATTCTTTAATGTCTAGTTTCTCTTTTAAATCACACTTTTCATTTCTCTGACAGGATTTGTACCAACAACCATGAAGCGTTTTTAATATGTTTATTGTTAATACTCCGTGCTAAGTATATTGCATGTTTCAAAAAGAGGGATTTGTTGTATGTAACTTTTTCCCCCTTCAACTTTTTGTTTTGTAGGGAAGCATATAGTTGACGTCAAAATAGGTTTACAAAATTCCGCAATCCCATGATATACCAGGAATTTTACTGGGGAGGAAAATGATGACTCAACGATTTTTCTCTATAACGATATAAAAAACCACGGAACGACTTGTTTCAACTATATCTCAGATCACGATAGACGTGCTGATAGAAATGTGCCACAATACTGCATTAATTGCCGCATTAATACTGTAGCATAATGCTACTCAATAATTTTGAAGGGAAGCACTCATGATCACAAAAATAATAAAGGTTACAAGGTTTACAATAGGGATGTTAAATTGTGAATACGGTCCAGTCCGATCCTAGGATCTAAAAGGACGGTCCCGGATCTGTTATGAGTTAATCGATCCCAGGATTAGATCCTGAATTGTGATCCTTCAAACAAGTCCATTCAATTAGATTGATAAATTTTTTTCATTACATAAGATTGATAAAATTTTTTTTATTATAATATGAAAAACATTTATATTTTATATAAAAAAAAATAAATTTATATAAAAAAAAAAAATTATATAGAAAAAATTTATATAAAAAAAAAAAAATTTATATAAAAGAATTTTTTTATACAAAAAAAAATTATACTTGTTATTTCTTAAACATTAATGTCACTTATCTCTTCATTTAATATTTCATTTAGTTTTCTATATTAGCTTTTCAAACATAGTAATGCATGTGTCACTTCAGGATTTATACAATTTTAGGTAAGACTTATTGTATGTTTTGCAATAAAGAAGGCCTGTTCACTTGGTATACTTGTGGCTTGTACAGCAAGAAAGTCTATTGCAACCTAAAAGAAAGTTGGAAATTGTTTAGAATTCGTTTTTTATCATAAAAGTGAAACTGCTTCAGTCTTAGGTTTATTTAAGTATTTGTTAATTTCATACTGGTTCAAATTGACTTGACAACAGTTTGTAAGGTTGTGAAAAAGTTCTTATATTAATTTAGCAATAGTGGTAGTAGATGGTAGTAATGGTAATAATAATTCATTTTTTTTGGTTGGTTTATAACTTTTGTACATTTCATGAAACTGATTAATAGCTTGCTTATGTTCACTAATTTCATAGATCGAAAGTTTGTTACATAGATCAAGAAAGCCTGAAATTGCTGACAATTTATTTAAATAGGCCTAATATAATATAAATTTTATTTTTATTATATAAGTTACAGTATGTTATGTATTAATTACTGGGTTTTCATTATTATTCAAGTGTATAATAAGACTATGAAATATCATGCACAAGTCACCTTAGATAGGAACTGTTGATAAAGATAGTATTACAATTGTATGATATATAAGTTCAAGAAGAATTAACAGGTTCTGTAATTCATGTTTTTATTAAATAAAACATATTTAAAAAATAAAAAATAATTTAAAATTACTAATAATAATAAATTAATATTCTTGTTTATTAGAATAAATTGGTTTTAATGTTTGGTTACCTATTACAAAAATATCAGTAATAGAACAGATTTGTTGAAGTTTTTCTAGCATAATAAATATACTATTTTAGCTGGTATTCACATCAGTTTCAGGCATTAAAAATAAAAGTTTTTTAGTTCAAAAATTTGTTTTAATTCTTGAATTAGTAATGGAAAGTTTCAAAGTTTTATAGAGAACTTTTATGTTTTAAAAATTTCATTACTAATTAATTTAATTTCTTCTTCAATAATAATATTAAGAATATATACATTATAATGAAAATGTTGTAAAGTTTTATTATTAAATTCACATATTTTTTTTTTTAAAACATATCCTATTGTAATTATGTTTGCAGCATTGTTTGTCATGATTCCCAAAAGTTTGTGACCAATAGTTATTTCTTTTAAGAGTTCAATGATTACATTACTTTGATTTATTACTATATAAGTTTAATTAAATAGAATGATTTCTAATAAGATATGATACATTTTCTATTTAGGATCAATCTAGTACACTGTTATGCCAATGTATGATTATTAAGTATACAAAGTTTAATCATCTATTGTAATCAAAATTTTAGATAAAATTGTATTTAAAAATAATTTTATTTTATTTTTATTTTTAATATACTCTTAACTAAGCCAAGTTAAGAGTATTTGGCAGTATGAAAGTTTGTAACAAGGATCAAGTTCTTGTAAAAAATTAATAAATTCTGAATTTTTAATTAATAAAAATGATTGTTGATCAACAACTATTCATCTTAAAAGTTTATTATTTAAAATATCTACATTATATTTTTTATTTGAACCATAAGGATTAAGTTGTCAAAATCTATATTGTTTGATTTTAGTAAATTCTAAGAGATCAAAATTTTGAAAATATTAGTTAATAGTTAATATTATGATTAGGTTGCCAAATGTTTATTCATATAATTTATATCTTTTATCTCTATCAAAGGTTAATAAAAGATAATCTCAAACAGGTGCTCAGTTATGTGTGATTGAGACTTTTTTTAGTAGTTTATTTGTATTATTTAAAGACAAAAACATGGATTTGTCATTTGTAAAAGTTTCATCACTAAAAGTTTCTTTATCAATAAATTCAAATTCAAATTAATTTGGTTCAATAATTTTGAGTTTATTAATAGATTCAAATTCGTTTGTTTCTATTTTTTTTTTTTTTTTTTTAGAAGAAAATAGAAAGTTTTAAATAACTTTTAGAACATATTATTAAATTATACAACTTTTTGTTTACTGAGATGATATCATCTTTATTAACAATTCTGTTCAAAAAATGGTTAGTTTTTTTAAAGTATACTGTTATTGTTCTATTGAACAGGATAGTTTGTTTTAAAATATAAATAGTTTTTGTGATTTACAAATAAAATACTATATTACTTTTACTATTGACAACAATTTTCATATTTATTACTATCAAAATGGAATGATTTATTTTAGACAAACACTTTTATTATTAGATAAATAGCATCTTACCTTTATTATTGACTAAATTTTTGTTTATATAAACTATTTTAATACAAAGATGACCAATAAGTGTAAGGTACTTTAATTATTTAATACTAAATGATTTAACTTTAATAAGCTTAATTCACTTTTATTATATATTCAAATCCAAAGATAGTTAACAAGTGTAGTTATATTCTTTTGATTGTTCATACTAAAAAATTTAAACAAACTTAATTCACCTTCATATTCAAAGCTGAAGATGGATAACTTTTTTAGGGAGTTCACTAAAATCTTTGTCACTAGCAAGGGAGATGGTACCTTCTTTTGTTATTGAATACTCAATAATTAAACTTTTATAAGTTTGCTTACCTCTAATTATATATTTGAATCCGAAGATGATTACCTATTATTAACTTAATTCTTAGTTATATATTGAATTGGGATTGTAAATTACTTCAACACTAGAGGCATACGCCTTCAAAAAAAAAAAACACTTGCAAGGCAAGCGTTTTTTGTCAAAAATCTCTTCTAACATCTAACGAAAGCGGGTCCTAGGATTTATAAAAGGGACCGGGTCCCAGGATCTGGTTCATAATGAGCTATCATGTGATTTAGGGATCGAATCCTCACAAATCCTTTTAAGGATCGGTCAGGATCGGTTGGGACTCGATCCCTGAGGACCGATTAACATCCCTAGTTTACAATGAACTTGAAAAAGGATTATATGCATGAAATACCATTCTTTATAGTGGAAGATCATAATGAAATCGGATTAAATGAAATGAGGAATTTCTCTAAAATCCACTTATACTTGTTTATTATAAATTCTAAACCCTACTCCTAACCCTAAAAAATATTAAAAAATGCACCTCAAAAATTTGTAGTTTTTGGTGGCTTGTCTACTTGACACTCACTCATTTTATTTTAATCTGATTTCATTTTAATCCGTGACAATGATAATAAAATGCTAATAATCAAAATTCCATGTCAATTTTTTGCTTATCAATAGCGGAGTTAAGTTAATGCTAAATCATTATATTCGCCTTCAAATCTATCCTTGTCCTCTTTCATCGTTCTTTACATTTCTCTACTTGTTGCCAATCAGTTCTCCATCTTCCCAATCCAAAGACCTTGTAATCTAAATCCTAATCTGAAGGCTAAAAGTATATCAATAGATAATCTACAATGAAGTATCCAGGAACGGTGAGAAACGCACCAAGCCCAACTGCGTCCAAACTGTCGGGTATCTTTAAGAAGTGAACTTTTTTCATTTGATAATACATGAATATTAATTGAACAACAGATACCTGGAATAAACCAGCTAACAGTAAGACATAAGATGTAAGCTTGACTACATCTTCTTCCGAGATGAATATATCTGTGTATGAAATCAAATAAGGCAATTTACAGTAATTAAATCAACTTATAGATATATATATGTCGCATCTGAAGTAGCGACTTATTTGAAGTAGCGCCTGGCTAAAATTAAGCCCCTGAAATTAGATCTTCATGCATGCATTAGATTTTAATTTTAGCCAGGATGCTACTTTAGATATATAAAGTGGCTACTTTAGATAAATCGCTACTTCAGATGCGACATATATATTTGATCGCAACTTAACCCCAATAATCCTTGAAAACTATCAGCACGGTTGTATTCAATAAAGCAACAATAACATTGAGTTGCATAGAAATTTTTGAAGCCATTTTAGCTCTTTCTACCAATCCAGCACCCAATAAATTTTCAATACGAGCTGTTACTGATACGGAAAATCCATATGGTAATTGATAACGTTAGCTGTGGTAATTATTATACTTTGTGATGCAAGCGAAAGTCCACCAAAATATCCAGCACGAAGAGATATGAATTCAAATATCCATTCTGAACAAACCATCAGGATGCCAGGAATTGCCAATGTCAAAACCTGATTCCAGCCACAAAACGCAGCACGTGACAACCCACCCATGCTTAATGAATTTAGTATAAACGACAAGAAAAATAGACATTAACCAATAAGTTACAGCTGTGGAAATAGGTGCTCCAATTAAATCAAGTGATAATGGTTGATACAAAACTAGCGTGAAGGTTAAGCATACGTTAATTAGAAAACAAATTATTGATACATATGTACTAGCTTTCATTATCCCTATGCATCAATTGTATAAAATTATCGTTAATTATTAATTCACGTTCATTAATTAGTTAACTTATGTCACCTTGAGCATGCAAATATTTCTTCAAATTTTCAAGCAACAAGAGTGCAGGAGCTCCAACCAATAAGTATCTTAAATATAAACCAGCTTGTGCAGCTATTCCCGGATCTTGACCAATGAGTACAAGAATTTGTTCTGCTTCCCACAAAATACAAGCAAGTGGGAGGAATCCTAAAAAAACTTATGATATTGCCGCGTTGTAAAAATACTCCCATCAATTTCATTTTACCAGGTGTATAGGCCTGCGAACAAAGTGTATCAAGTGCTGTCGCAACACCTGAAAGGAAGGTTCCATAAATTGATTCACTACTTTCCTTAACATTATTTCTATTAATAAATCCGTTTAATGACCAAGCAATATGTGTTATTTCGTATAAGTAGTATATACATCGTGAGGTCAATTTTACAGAAACCAAGTCCGATAAGATGAACGTAGTTAATCAATTTATGGGGTTTCCCTTCCTGTTGCTCAACTAATCCTGAGTGGTAATAACTAGAATTTAAATACAAATTTCTCACTCAGAACATCCCGATTCTGAGTTTAAATTAGGGATGTTAACAGTCCAGTCTGGTTATGGATGGTAAAAAATCGTTTTTTAATGATTTTTACCTAATTTATAAAAAGTTTTAAAACTGTTGATTATGACTGACACCGAAATTACTGGCGTGATATTTTAATAATATTATGATATCATTAAAATCTGAAATAAAATTTACCCGGTTATCAATGACAATGATTTAAATCATAAAAAAAATCATTTTAAAGCAATATAATATTGATTTAAAACATTGTGTTTTAAATCATTTGCCATCCCTAAGTCTGGTCAATTTTGGTCCAGGTTTAGTTTGATCTATTATGGTCTTCAGTCTTAAGACTTTGCTAGTCCAGATTGGTCCAGACTAGAGGTGCAGGCGAATCGTCCCAATGATGTTACGACATAAGCCGTAACTAGCTAAAGCTTATGTCGTAACTAGTTAAGGCAATCATTGGGACGATTCGCCTGCATCTCTAGTCCAGACCAGTTCAGTCTTACAGACCAATTTTTGAGGGTTCAGACTGGTTTTAAGACTAATTATAATCTATTAGTCTAAGACCAGACCACATAACGTCCCTAGTCTGAATGATTTCAATACGGCACCAAATTAGAGTTAATGCTTCAATCCGGACTTATATATCCAGATTTATATATCCGGATTTATATATCCGGATTTATTATATCGGAATTTTTTATAGTAAAATCGAATTGATGTATTAACTCTAACATGGACGGTTTCCCCTGTTATTTACTTATACATATTCGATAACAGATGTGAAATTTATTTTATGAATGAATATATTTTATTATATTAATAAAATACAAACGATATATATATATATAAGGAATTTTAACAATAATGATACATATTTTTATTTATTTAAAAAATAAATGTTTTCTTCAACATAAATTGATATATCATTTCTGAAATTATTTTATTCATTTCAATATCAACTTCTATAGTTTCTTCATTACTTATTTCAATAATTTCATTTATAATCATGACGTTTTTGTTATTTGTAATTGAAAAAAAGTATAATGAATGAGAATATAATGTTGGTTGGTAAAAATAAAAATATTATTTTATACTTATTTTGTTGAGTGTTAATTATGAGTTGAGTAAGATTATGAGTAATAGTTAAAAAGTTTTCTTGCAGAATATTTACTATTGTTTTAAACTTTTTGATTTTTTTTGAATTCTAATTCAATTTTATTTTTTAATTCAATTTTTTGATTTGCAATTCAATTTTTCTGGTTCTTAATACTAGTTTCTTTTTTAATATAATATTTTTTTAATTTTCTTAACATTAATACTAACTTATTTTATGTATTAATTCCAATTTTAACTTTGCAATTTATTTTTTTAATTTTTAATATAAGATTTTTTTATAATTGAAATTATCTTTTAAACTGTATAAACAGTTATTTTTTTATTTTCTTTTTATAAATACAATATTTGTAAAAATAAGTTTCTTAAAGTTATAATAATAATATTTTTTTATTTGTTAATAACAGTCTTCTTGGGTTTAATAGTTTTTTATATTATATCTTTTTTCTTTACTTAAATTTTTTTCATATAATTATTGTTATAATAATAATTATTAATAAAAAATATTTATACATAAATCTTTATTTAAATAATTGTTTAAGAAGTTCAATTTAAAATAAAAATATTATAAAATAATTTAATTATACAAACTAATTAAAAATTAGATTGACTAATTAAAAATAATTAACTAATAAAAATTTTTTTTAAGTTAAAGTGAAGTTTGCTTAATCTAATTTTTAATTATTTTGTATTATATATTCTAATTAGCTAATATGTTTTATTAAAGTTTATTATTTTTATATTTTATTTAATATAATTTAATAAAAAGTTTTTAATTTATATTATCAAAATATTATTTAATTGTTTTTTTTTAAGATAAAGATATTTAAGAATTTATTTTTTGCATTAAAATTTTACAAACTGCTAATAAATTAAATATAAGCTGTTTGTTAGTTAGTATTGTTTACGAACTTTTATTTAATTACTTGATTTATTTTAATAAACTGTTAATTAAACAAAAAAATTAAATAAATTATTAATTTTATTTAAATATTTTATATATTTATTTAATCTTTTTAGTTAAAATATAAACTATATACTAGTTAGCATTAAAATATATTATTTAATAAAGTTTTTATATAACTGCTTATTTGTCTAATTAAATTATAAAAGAATTAATTAAACAAAAAAAATTATATATTATTTTAAAATAGATTTTTTTTTATTTTTTTTTTAAATATTAATATTTTTATCTTTGAGAAATATATTTAAGAGATAAATTATAATTAAAAAGTATAAAAATAGTGAATTTAATAGTAAAAATTATCAGAAATTAATATGGTTTTTTTATAAAATTGGAATATAGTTAGCTTATAATAAAAAGTTTTTTCATACTAAGTAAACCTTTTTTGAGTCCTAATAAAAATTATATAACAAGTTATTCTTGTTCTAATAGTAATAGAATTATTCAAATTGGTTTGATAGATCATAAGCTATTAATATTTTTTTTTTTATAATTATATAATTTTTATATAATGCCAGATATTTTTAGCATTTTAATATTATATAAAAGTAATAGCAATTTTCTGTTAATTTTTACTATAAAATTTATATTTTTCAATTGCAATTTACTATTTAAGTTATATAATTATAAATTTTTCTAAAAGTTTTGTTATTTAAAAGGTTATAATTAGTAGAGTTTAGATTCAAATATCTGGTTATTTATTTAAGGTATTTTTTTTATAAAGTTGTATCTGGATAACTGTTAGTTTTTAATTTGCAAATAATCAGATAAACCTTATAAAAAACTAGATAATCTTATGGATAACTAGAAAATATTTGGATATTTGAATTAACTGAATAATCTACAGATATTATAAGGTCAGATAGATAATATATTACTATCTATTTAAAATATATATGTATTGAAATATGTTATTCAAGTTTATAGGCTATTACATTATTTATAATTTATTTATATATTCTAAATGTCAACTGTAATTAGGCATTTTGTTTTTTGATTAGATGTTTTATTAAGTTATAAATTAGTATAGCACATTGGAGTTAGTCTAATTGCAAATATATTACAGATAATATAGTGATAATCACTAATTAAGATTTTTTATACATAATAAATTTTTGAATCTGCATACTATATTAAATAATTATAAAAACTGAATTTATTATATCTTTAATTCTTTTTGTAATATTTAACATCTTTTAATTTTATAAAAGCAAAATAGTTTAAAAAAAGTGTTTTTATATTGTAACAACATCAGATTTATACAGATCACATAGTAAATTGCTGGCTAGATTTTAACGTATAATATATTTTGATATAAAGTTGCTTTTTTTAAACTATTTTGCTTTTATAAATTTAAAAAATGTTAAATATTATAAGAAAAATTAAAGATATAGTAAATTTAGTTTTTTATAATTATTTAATATAGTATGCAGATCCAAAAATTTTCTATAAAAAATTTTTTTTTTTTTTTTTTTATTATATAATATCAAGTAGGAAAATAAAAATACATGAATATATCAATTGGATATTAAT